AAGCTGGTTGACCTAAAAAAATGTAGACTTGATGTACGATTACTTCAGTGTGGTAGAATATATGTTCTGGGTTCAGACGATCATAGTTAATCTCTGGCAGCTCCAGTTAAAAAAATTAGGTAGGAATTATCCTTTTGCTCAAATATTTTGGAGAACCACTTCCATCTAGAACAATGGAAGATTAAGACTGCTCAACTATTCTGGATCATCGGTTGTACAGATAGTCCTTGACTTAACAACAGTTCATTTAGTGACTGTTCAAAGTTACAACGTCACTGAAAGAAGTGTCTTATGACCATTTTTCATATTTAGGACCCAGTCACTCAGAATCCCAAGAGATGACTGTCTTCTTCTACTTCAGCATACCCATCATTTCTCTGGATTCTTATTTCTACAACTGAATTGTCCTTGTTTCCTCTAACATTCGGTTGGAATCTTAATTACCATCCTTTAAATTCATGATTCTGTGTTGTGCACTCTGGGATGATAGAAAACAGCAACTGAACTTCCAGGTGGCATCACCTTTGACAGACTGCTCAAGTCTAAATATATTAAGGGTGTCCACAGACGAGGTCAAAAGAGTCAATATGATATCCATGACTGTGTGATCAATCCAATCTAGGTCGATCACCGGGACCAGAGATTTAGTCTTCCGAGCTTTTGGACTTGTGCTGGAGCCCATCCTCAAAGAATACAGAGAACTATGTGGTGCCTGGTTGTGTGTGGCTTTTTAGTTGTTGATTGGGGTGTTGATGGCTCACTATTAAGTCACTCACTGGCTGTTGTTTTTCTGTGCTGCCAAGTCCTCAGCTCGTAAGTACTTGATAAGCTGGTGGTAAATAGAATAAATAAATAGAATAGCTCTACATTCTGGTAGAGAGAAGTTCCCTGGGGATGGGATCCAGCACAAGTCCAAAAGCTCAGAAGATTAAACCTTTGGTCCCAGTGACCGACCCAGTTTGGATCCTGCAACATTATCCTGGGACACATATATTGCCTTCATTTGTGTGTGATCAAAGCCATGTCCCTTAAAAAAAGGAGCAGGCCTACAATCACACAAGATCCCTGAGTAGTCATCATAGGACATTGTATCTAGTCTTTTGATCATCATGCTGATTGCCCTTGTTTTGATCTGTTGAAGCTTCTCCAGATCTTCCTTTAAAAGTTGCTGTTATGTTTTTGCCACTCATGCTCTAAGAAAGTCATATTTTTTTATTCCACTTCTTTACATATTCAGTAGAGATTCAAATTTTTTTCCCCATGGTTTGTCTTCCATTGAGTTCCAGGAAATGTTATTAAGCACCGAAGCCATAAAGCACATCTGTCCCAAATTTAGGGCTGATCTGAATTGTTTTAACGTTTATTAATAGTTATGGGTTTATTCTATGTGCTTTCTGCTTCATGCTGGGAACCATCTGAAATATGAAGGAGGAGAATGGTCTGTAACATAATCAACATTCTAGCAGATGAATAATTATCAAAACTAGTTGGGATTTAACTGCATTTTAATTTATCACTTCTTGCCTCCTAAAAGAATCTGAATAATTATCCTTCCTCCAGAAAGGGAGGATATAATATTTCTGTCAGGAGATTTAATTTCTCATCTTTCCTTTTCAGCTTAAGCAGAAAATAGTAGTTAGAATATCATTAAATATTTTTTATTTATTTTGGTTCTGAGTGACTAAAATGGTGTCCACCCATCTCAACATTTAACATTTGAGTTGTTTTCATGTTGCATTGTAGATTCTAAATCCTGGCTCTGCTATACTCACATCTCATGCAGTGTTCCCCCAGCCTTCCAATAAACTATATTCTAGATTAATGATAGTTAATAATGATATAATAGTTAATAATAATAGTAGTAGTAGTTGTAGTAGCAGCAGGAGGAGGAGGAGGAGCAGTAGTAGTTAATAATGATATCTAAAGAAAAGAAGAAATAGGGGAAATGTGACAGCAGTGTTCCAGTATCTGAGGGGCTGCCACAAGGCAGAGGGGGTCAGGTTGTTCACCAGAGCACCAGAGGGAAGGACGAGAAACAATGGTTGGAGACTGATCAAAGAGAGAAGCAACCTGGAACTAAACTTTCTGACAGTGAAGACAATCAACCAATGGAACACCCCCAGAAATCGTGGACGCTCCATCACTGGAAATTTTAAGAAGAGACTACACAATCATCTGTCTGAGATAGTATAGGTTCTCCTGCTTGAGCAGGGGGCTGGACTAGAAGACCTCCAAGATCCCTTCTAGCGTCTAGTCTAGTCTAGTCTAGTCTAGATTCATGCAGATATTCCCCGAGTTCTCGCAATATGTTGACTCATGAATCACCAACTGCCTAAATTGATTTATTTTGCCTTTCTTGGCATTTTGGGCAAATCCAGCCTCATTCTTATTGTTCATCATTTAGAAAAGAAAACAAACCAGAATTTAGACTTTTTCACATACTGCAGTGAGCCATGTCTTATTTAACCTTTGTTTATTACCAGCTGCCCTGGATTAAGCTTGCACAATGCGCTGCATGATAAATGTAGGCTGTTTACCTTCAGCACGCTAATTACAGCAAAAAAAAAGCAACGCCTTTACATACAGTATATGATCTTTTAATGAGTGTAATTGAGTGTATATAAGCTTGCAAATCTTGTCATGTATATCCATACTGGCTGATAGATCCTTTACTCATGTGGATCTGTAATTCAAAAAGTCTGTTTTCCAAATGTTGGGATTATTTTTGTAATTTTGATAGGCAAAAAATTATCCCTCCTTTCTCCCCAGCTTTTGTTCTAGATACCAGGTATCTTATTACAGGTTTCATGCCATTGATTAGATGCCATCAAGTTGTTGTTGACTCTTAATGACCACACAGATTAGCCCCCAAGCTGCTCCTTCAGATCTTCCGATGATGCACCCTTCACTGCTGTCGTCCAATTCTTGCTGTTCTACTTTTGTTCAGTTCTGCAGCATCACCAAGGTGCATTAGCCAAAAAAAAAGCATTTTTGATTGTATCCAGAGGCCAATGTGCAGGAACACAACACAACACACTACAGGTGCTTGGCAGGGTTTTGTTTTGTTTTCTGACACTGTGTGCTTGAGTAAGCAGCACACAGAAGAGACCTAAATGCTACAATCTGAGACTGGTTTGACGTTTGGCGCAATGTTGTGTTAGCGCAGTCACCCAGCTGATTTGCTTTCTGTTTCATTGGATTTTAACTTGCCATTTTAAGCAAGTTAAACACATGCAGACCCAGCAAAAGGTTTACCACCCACATTACATGCTAGGCTGGTTCTTTATCTCGAGCACGATGAAACAAATAGGCATTATTTGCTTTATAAGATTCTAATGCTCTTGAGATCACTTTGCCGTCCTGTCGGATTTTCTTCTCTGAAAGGAAGAAATGATTGCAGGCAGATGAAATGAGGGAAGCGGGGAAATTCTTTACTGGTATGTGGAAGAACTAGTTTGATCGAGGCAGCATACTAAAAAGCAGAGACATCACCCTGCCAACAAAAGTACGTATAGTCAAGGCCATGGTTTTCCCAGTTGCAATGTATGGCTGTGAAAGTTGGACCATAAGAAAGGCTGAGCGCCAAAGAATGGAGGCCTTTGAACTATGGTGCTAGAGAAGACTCCTGTGAGTCCCTTGGACTGCAAGGCGTTCAAACCAGTCAGTCTTAAAAGAGATCAACCCTGACTGCTCTTTAGAAGGCCAGACCCTGAAGTTGAAACTCAAGTACTTTGGCCACCTAATGAGGACTCATTGGAGAAGAGCCTAATGCTGGGAAAGATGGAGGGCAAGAGAAGAAGGGGACGACAGAGAATGAGGTGGCTGGATGGAGTCACTGAAGCAGTAGGCATGAGCTTCAATGGACTCCAGAAGATGGTAGAGGACAGGAAGGCCTGGAGGAACATTATCCATGGGGTCGTGATGGGTTGGACATGACTTCGCAACTAACAACAACAAGTTTGGTCTAGTGGTTAAGGCACCAAGTTACAAACCAGATTAGAAACCAGGAGACTGTGAGTTCTAGTCCCCACTACAGTCAGCATGAAAGCTGGCTAGGAGTGACTTTGGGCCAGCCATTCTCTCTCGGTCCAACCAACCTCACAAAGTTGCTTTTGTGGGGAAAATAGGAGGAGGAAGATGCATTAGGTATGTTCTCTGCCTTGAGTTATTTATAAAAGTAACAAAGGGTGGATATAAATAAATAAAAACAAAGGATAGAACCTTGATTTATTATTCCTCTTCTTAGTGTGTTCCGATGTATCAGTTTGAGATCACAGTCCAGTAGCCTGACTTCAGTTCCCAACTTTCCATAGTACCATTAATTTTGTTAGGCAGAACTCAAGAGGAATGAGATCAAGAGCAGGTTGAACTATGGCAGTGTTTCTCAACTTTGGCCACTTGAAGAGGTGTGGACTTCAACTTTCAGAATTCCCCAGCTAGCAGACACTGAACTATGGAATAATAAATAAGAGAACTGGATAAGAATGCTACATCTTAGGAAAAGCTAAGCATCGTGAAGCACATAGAGAAGGACGACTCTTTTGGTTTCTTTCCATTTCTCATTCAGCTTGTCCATTTCAATGTCTCATTTCTTTGTAGGTGTGTTCGGTTATCTTTCTTTTTTTAAAAAAAGTCCTAAAATAGGAACGTACGCTTCTTTATTTGCCTTACTCCCAATGTGAGTTTGCCTAGCAACATCCGTATGCATTTTTTTGGGCCTACTAGGTTCACAGATATATGGATTTGTCTCCCAAGTTTTCTCCGGTGTGTTTTTAATTAGCATTCCTGGTGAAAAATACATTGCAAAATTTGGAGAAATGTGAATTTCAGTAACTGGTAATGACAGTTCAAAAATATGGAAGGGAGAAAGTTTGCTTGCTAATATGAATTAAGTAGATTTCTCTCCTTTGGTAGAGGTAAATAAAACACTGAATAGAAACTTGGCATTCCAGAATAAAAAGCTTCTTACTAATACGAAGATCATCCTTTCTTTTTTCCAGCCTGAAGAATCAGTAGACAATCATCCAAGAATGAAGTTCAACCTCTAATACTTCTTCAAAAACCAGCCCTTACACAGGGACAGATGCTTTCTTGGACAATGAGCACTTCCTATGTGACATCATTCATGTTTAGCTAATCTTTGCTTTGAGCAATGAATGGATTTTACTTTTTGTTTTTATTTTGTGGTGAGTAAGAAGATTCAGACAGATTTTTTTATACCCTTTGGAGATAGAGTCTATATATTCAACATAAAACCAAGAGTATGTTTTAAATTGTAAGATATATCATCCATCTTCGGAGGCCAATGGAATAAAATATTTTTTTCTTTTTTCATATTTATTCTCAGATTTCTTCAGAGAGTATAAGATCCTATTAAATTATCTATAATTGTGATGTAAGTAACAAGTCTTCAAAAAAAATAAACTTGATATCTTCACCCTATTCCTGCATGATTTTTTGTCATCCAGAGTGGGGGAGCAAAAAGGGAGAGAAACATTACTCCTGAGTAATGTAGAATTAATTATTTCTTCCAATATTTGATTTCCCGTAAAGTTAACTGCAAAAAGGAAAACAAAATAGGACTCGTTTCCAACTGTTCTGGTTCCATTTCTCTAAAAGAATAGTGAGTTACAAAGTGAAAAGAAATATCGGGAAAACTTTAAAGTGTTAATAAAAACAAACTAATAGAACAATTATCTAATTTCCCCAACCCAAAATTGAGCTTCTTGCGAGGAATGTTGAGTATCCATTGCAGGGATGTCTTCAAAAGGGTTTAAAAAGTGAAGATGGCAGCAACGCATTAAAAAAAAGATGGGTTTTTCATCACATGGTTAAGGCTATCAAGCTGATTTTTTTTTAACCTTCCTGCTGTCACAGTTATCGATGACCTATCTTTTATTTACCTTGGCTGATCTTCGGGGGGGGGGGGGGGAGAGAAGCAGAAACAAGCCTGAATATTTCTCACGTGGAAGATCACAGATCATCCTAAAGCTTTAAACTAGGCTGGGAAATTATATCCATGTAGTCCCTAGGCGTTCTTACCTTTTTTCCTTGGTTCATTACATTCTCCTTTCAGAACTATCTATATTATTCACCCTGAGTCAGAAGACCCATCCAGTTAATCTTTGCTAACTTTGCGCCCTGAAATTTATGTTCTGCTTGGGGATAACACGAAAAGTCCTGGACAAACAAATGCTTCCATCAACTTAAACCATGTTTGGAATGAAGATGGGCTTGTTTCCATCTGCCCTACTGGTTGTGTATGAGTTTAAGTCATCACAGGCACAATGGGATAGATTTTAGCTTCAGTGTACCCTAATCCACATGGCTGGCAAAGTGGAGTTATCTCTCATCACTGTTCCACAGATTGTGTGGAGTTAATGGGAGATTTAATCAATGGCAGATCAAGAAAGATATTAGCAGTTATGGGAATGAGTGTCCAACTCAGAGATCAATCCCAAATGAGGAAGCCTATTAGGATGGTCGTTTGTGCATAACTAAAATTTACAAACAAAAGATAATGGAAAATTTACACATGCTAATTCATATGTGCAGATGCCAATTTATTTTTGTACATATATCCTCATGAAGTTTTCTCTCTCCTATGATTAATTTCTCTTTACTGACTATTTTAAGTCATTTGTCTTTGTCAGCTTCCTGCTGAATCCACTTAATTAGCAACTTTTGACCTTTAAAAAGCACACTCCATGAAATGCAATGATAAATGGAAAAAAATCCAGTCTGATCTCCTTTCAGGTGATCACAGAATAATTTGCTGGGCTAGCCCTCTCAAATGTACTAGCAGCTCATACTTCCTTCAGAAATTGTTTCTGGAACTCCCTCTTTGCTTAGGAAAAGGGATGAGATGACTTTATGACAACTTGGGTATAGCATAAGAAGAACTTGAATGAAAGAGACATATTTTATAATAAAAGGCATTTCATTCTGCATTAGCCTTCCAGAATCTGTTGCCCTGCAGAGGTGCTGGACTTCAACTTTCAGAATTTATAGCTGAATGGAAATTATAATTATAATTATTAAAAAATCAAACATATCTAGAAGGCAAATCAATGGAGAAGATTTACCTAGAGATATGTGGAGTCCTTACTGCTCTCTGAGCTTGGATGTTTGCTTGCAGACTTTTCACTGACTGGGTAATATTAGCAGTGCAAGGGAATGTGGGATTTGCTTCCTTTTTATATAAACTACCTTGCCCTGCCATTGTTGGTGAAGATGTGGTTTTCTCTTTGGTAGTTCCTTGATTAGGTATTGTTTTCTGCTTGATTGCTGTCATGGTTCCGATCGATGAGACCAGCTAAAAAAGAACTTCAAGGCAAGGATTTCTTCCTCAAAGAACATTTTTATTTGGCTACGAAATAACGGCACGTACAAAGGTGAACCCAAAACTAAATTCTTGAGTTCAGACATTTCACTGTCAGCCAGTGAAAAAATGTTCCTGAAAACACTATGAGTGATGGACTCCGGAAGAAGATTAAAGAAATGTCCCAGCTAAGGGTCAGTTAAACAGTTGCCGCCAAAGATTATGTCATCAGTCACTGGAGAGCTGACTGAAGGAAGGAAAAGTGGAATTAAATCAAAAGAGCAGACCATCCAGGGACAGCTTAAGAAGTGGAAATAGGAGAAAAGTTGAACAACTTTCAAGGGGAAAAGAACGGAAATCCTTCAGAAGGCCAGTAGGACACATAAAACGCATAAGCATCCGTAACAAATTGCCCGTCATCAGTCATGAATCCCTTCATGCCCACAAGAGATGTGTAAGTCCAGCCCACCTTGAATTCCTTTGACTCTGATCTACTGCCAATGTGTTTTGACCATTTGTAGCTCAGATTCTTGTAGAGAACTTAAGCTTGCAATAAATCATGATACTCATTTGAATTGCCTGAATCTCCTGATTTTCCCCATCACTTAATGTTGCAATCACATCAGAATGGCAATACTGTATTTTGATGTCACTACATACTTGCCTCATGATATCATAAGCACACAATTCTTGTCACTTCGCTTATGGACTCGGGAGTTGAAATCCACGAGTCATAAAAGAGCCAAGGTTGCCTACCCCTGCCTTAGATGTACCCAGTTCCTGCAACCATTCATCTATGATGCCAAGGGGAGGCAACCTTGGCTCTTTTATGACTCGTGGACTTCAACTACCAGAATTCCTGAGCCAGCATGGTTGGCTCAGGAATTCTCTGAGTTGAAGCCCACGAGTCATAAAAGAGCCAAGGTTGCCTACCCCAGGTTTATGCTTTAGCCTCCAGTCCCCTAATTATCTTTGTTACTGTTCTTCTTTATTCCTTCTTTATTCCTTTATCCTTATACAGTAAGTTAAACTTCCTCGTGTTCCTTGCAGACCTGGAACTGTATTTTCGATCTGAAAAAAAAAAAAATCCAGCCAGAAATTCGACACATGATTGGACAACAGTGTCTGAAAGCAAAAATAAAAATAGGACAGTTTATTCGGGACCTCCAATGGGACTTTTATGCAAGTTTTTTTTTTCAGGCCCATCTTCTAAGTTTTCAGGCATACAAAGACCTACTTCTGCCTTTATAAAAAATACAGGCGCACATTTGCACGAACAGACATCTGCTCCACAAAACAGTCAGCAAACTTGACTGTACTGAGAATAAACTGCATTCCCAAACGTTTCAGCATGTTGAAGGAACAAAGAGATATTCTGCTTTGATTAATTTCCTGATCCAGAGCTCACCAGAAGTATTTGAGTCCCAAAGTGCCCAGAATTCCTCATGATTCGTGTTTCCGAATGCATTTGAAAATGGGGACAGGGGATAGGAGTGGGGGGGGGGGTGAAGGAAAGTTATGCATTTAGAATTTGAAGGGAGAAAACCTTTAGACTAATTAGAAACTGAGCTTGTGACCAGCGAGAGAGAGAAGGAGGAGGGGGTGGGAAGAAGGAAGGAAGGGAGGGAGGGAGGATGGGAGGGAGGGAGGGAGGAAAGAAGGAAGGAAGGAAGGAAGGAAGGAAGGAAGGAAGGAAGGAAGGAAGGAAGGAAGGAAGGAAGGAAGGAAGGAAGGAAGGAAGGAAGGAAGGAAGAGCAAGGCTTCTCTGTGCTTTACTGAGTCAGCATATTGCCCCAGAAGGCTGGAAGGCTGAGTCAGCTTTGAGCCAGTCAGGATCAAACTGCTGGCAGTCGGCAAAGTTAGCCTGCAATACTGCATTCTAACCACTGTGTCACCAGTTCTAGAATCCGGGAAGGAAGGAAGGAAGGAAGGAAGGAAGGAAGGAAGGAAGGAAGGAAGGAAGGAAGGAAGGAAGGAAGGAAGACCCCTGTTTATTCCAGTTTGATTTTTAAACTTAACTTTATTAAGAGTAGTTCTCATTGCCACTTAAAGGAAAAAAATGAAAGGCATATTAATGTATCCATCATGCCAGTGGCTTACTTCCACCATCTGGAACTAATGGTGTTCTCACTAGCACCAGTTACACAGCAGTGCTTTGATTATGAGCCAGATAAACATCTGCTCTGACTCACTTTCCCCACAGCCTGCTTCACACAACCACCTCCAATTTGGTAGCAGCTGTGCAGAGGAGTGTCACAAGATCTATCGGAGGGGAACCGACTTTGCAAACAATTGTGCTGAAGTATTGGAAGAAGCAGCCGTCCTGAAGTAGAAGCAGCTTTCACGGCCAACACTGACCCACATTCTAACTTTCTCTTCCTTTCTTTAAGTCTTCCTCAGTCTCTCCCCCCCCCCCCGCTGCGATCACAAAAAGTTCATCTTGGGGAAAAGAGGAGATTGCAAGCAGTGAAAAGCTGCTTTGCTCATTCTTAGGGAGTAGGTATGTGTGAATTTGGGGTAAACCCAACCCATTGTACTCTTTTCTTACGGTAAGGATTTTCATCCTGCAGATTAGTATTAAAATAGCCAGAAATATATTCATTGGATTATGAGGCGTTCAGCCACTTCATGCTTTTTCAGCAATATATAGCATCTATCTTCTGCCTTTATTGGAGTGTTTCTCACCGTTGGCAACTTTAAGAAGAGTGGACTTCAACTGCCAGAATTGAATTCCCCATGGCTGGCTGGGGACTTCTGGGAGTTGAAGTTCACCCCTCTTAAACCCACCAAAGCTGAAAAGGACTGCTCTGTTGGGTAGTGCTTTCTACACATATATGTCACACCCACAGAAAGGGGGGGGCGATGAAACCTTTGTTGCAAAACCATGACACAACCTCTGCCTGTTCTATACAGTTAGTCCTCGGCTTATGACTGCAATGGAGCCTGCCCATTAATTGGGACTGTCATGAAGCAGGTCATCAATGACTGACCTGATTTTACAATCTTTGTGTGTGTGTGTGTGTGTGTGTGCTTTAAGTGTATCACCATGGTTGTTAAGCAAATCCACAGTCATTAAGTAAGTGTTTGCTATGGGGCAGTGTTGCCAGAAACCAGAAGATTG